AACAGTAGCCTTAATACAGGAAAAAGCACAGTAGAGAGCTTAATCTTGGAATTAGTTAAGACGTGTCCCCGATGAGATGGTGAGCATTTGCGAACACACCCTGTGTATGGCTCACGTGGCAGTGAAATATGTGGGATGTTGGTGTCCACGGGCAGCGTGCAGGGGCGGAGGTACTCAGCGTGTTATTGCTCATGGTGCATGTCCCACTCCAAGTGCAGCGTGAAGAGATGGGGCCTCGATATCTTTCCTTTCAAATCACCTTCCGATTGCCTTGAAGGTCCCCTGATCCAGCCCTTAGACGAGAGCAGAGGTCCCTCCTGGCGTGGCTCTGGGGCCGCCTAGCGGGGTGCGCTCCGTGCAGCCCTGTGGGACCCGCTGTCAGAGTCCGTCTGTTCATCCAGCGGCTGGGAACGGCTCACAAACTAGGGCTGAGAGTGAATTAATTTTATCCCTCGTGTTACATGCCTATTCTGAGTACAGCTGTTTCTCAGGGCTGGAAAATCCTGGCTTTCCCTCCCCTTATTTGGATAACAGCTGAACTGCCGACAGATATTGGACACTTGAGTCAAACTGGAGTTCCTAGAACCAAGTGACTAAATCCCCTTTTAAGCACCGACATTAAAAGACGCCTAGGACTTATTTTAAGAGATGCTAAGCTTCCACTTGAAATCATGAGGCTCCATACTTGTTAAAGTAAGTAGATTCATGTCAAACAGAGATCCTGGTCATTTGCTTCCTTTCTTCCCCATAAACCACCCCCCTCCCAACGCTGCCCCACTTCTTTGCATGCCAGAGCATTACAGGAATGTGGAAGGATTTTGAGCCCAGACTGCCTGACACATGAAGACTGCAGATCCTGGGGAGTGTAGTGCGTGAAGACTCTGGTGCCCGTGGCTGTAACCTGCAGAGTACATGCAGCTGTGAGTAAAGGCAATAGTATTTGTGGAGTCCCTGGGCATCCTGACGCACCCGCCTGCTCTCTGCTGCCTGTGCGGTGTGTACCTTTGGCATTCACGTTGCACAGGCACATCCCAGTGGCTGCGTTTGGTGGAGGTTGGGGGTCCTTTATGTGGACCCTAAGGACAAGCGTTCAGTGCCACAAGTTATTTCAAGAACCTGGAAACTGCTGTATTTCTGCAGTTGGGATGCTATATAGTAACACAGCTAGACAACGGACCCTAAGAACAAGCATTCAGTGCCACAGAAAGAACGTTATTTCAAGAACCTGGAAACTGCTGTATTTCTGCAGTTGGGATGCTATATAGTAACACAGCTAGACAACGTTATTTCCTGAAAGCTCTGGGGAAACACCCGCAGGCTCACTGTCTCATAGGTTACCACTTCTGAAGAACTCTGTGTGGTCAGTGCTTGGACCGAGAGCTGATGCACTGGGGCAGTGCTGAGCTGCTCTGGTCTGGTACAAATCTGATAGCCATCTGACCGATCAGTTCCCCGCCTTGTAGCCGCACAGTGCCAGGAGCCAGCGGCTCCTCCTGCCTGCGCGAGCCCGGCTGTGCGTGAGGAGGGGATGAATCAAATTCCAGCTCTCCCTTTCACTGCTGACTGCTAGAGGATGCTTTCCCCGTTCCCCCATGGATACCTGCAGTGAATAATGAAGCAGAGCCTCAGCCTTAATACATAGGACAACCCACGGTCTTTTTTTTAAAGTAGAAAATACCACAGTACGCTATTCAGCCAGCAAGTAAGTTAACCTCTCCACCCTAGAATACAATGATGACTCTCCTGTGAGTCATAAGGAGGATTAAGTTAACGGGGCCAAAGAGGAGAGAGAGTAGTCTAGCCAGCTTGATATTTCATGTGGGCACACCTTCCAAGGAGGTGGATATGGCATTCCAGCAGGCTTAGGAGGAGATTGGAATTGTGTGGTCAGTGCATGTAACGGTGCGTGACTCATGGCTTTGCTACCCAGTGCTCCAGCGATGACTTGCTGTTTCTGCTGTCGGTGGCTGCACTGTTACGTTTGCACTTTCTGCAGAACGCAGCATGTTCTGATCTCCGCTGTCCCCAAACCAGGCCCGTTACGCGTGTCCCTCCTTCTTCGTGAAGAAGGAATTTTTGTGAACAGCACCGTATGAATTGTGACTGCTATAGCATCCAGGGTAGCACGGGATGTCTTTACTATACTAGTAGTTACCAAAATGGAAAAAAGAGCCTTTTCTGTCCCAGAGCCTCCTGCTTTTACTTAGCTGATTTAAATTGTTTTGAATAGGAATAAAGAGAAGGTATATCCTGAGGTGGGAACACACTCAAATGGGATGTCTATAGACTGATAGCAGTAGCTAAGTTACGCTCAGAAGCAAATAGGAATCTGGAGTAGCTTTTGCAGAGCCTGCATAGTAATTTTCTCCGAAGTGCTACGCAAAGCAGCATGTGCCTGCTGTAGCTTCTGTCATCTCCTACTCAAATGAGATGTCTATAGACTGATAGCTAAGTTGCGCTCAGAAGCAAATAGGAATCTGGAGTAGCTTTTGCAGAGCCTGCATAGTAATTTTCTCCGAAGTGCTACGCAAAGCAGCATGTGCCTGCTGTAGCTTCTGTCATCTCCTGTCACACAGGCGTCTCTTGGGTGGTTATCCCACAGCATATCCTGACTGGTGGTCTGATGCTTCTGCCATATAAACCTGATGTCATCAAAGCTGGTGGATCCAGAGATGAACCAAAGCTCCTGAGCCTGCCTGCCCTTCTTGTCCCACTGCACGTGAGGCCCCGGAGCTGCCTGTGCTCTTGCTGTGCAATGGAGAAGGCTACAGTGAAAACGGGGGTAAGTGACTGAGTTTCACGCACCTTGTCTGATCTCTAGTGCCACGAGAGCTGCTTCCAGCCTGTGCCCCAGGCAGGGGAGCCTGTGCACAGGAGTAGCAGCACATAATCCTCCAGCCTGCCCATCGCTGCACTTTATCACCTCGCATCTGTGCCCACAGTGAACTCTGGCCTAAAATTCTCGTCCTGGTTCAGCTCCACCAGCTCCGCTCGCAGTGGGCACACGTTCATACGGAGCTGCTGCTGGAGGCTCTGCCGCCGCCCGGTCTGCCCCCGCTCCGGCGTGCCAAGCCACCGGCACCTGGGACGGGCAGTGCCAGCGCTTCCACGAGTGGAGCAAAGTCCGTGGGCGAGATCTGAACTTGTACAATTAAACAAGAAACACAGGATCCCCCTGGAGACTGTTTGCTTGAGGGGAGTGTTATTTAAAGCTCTCTCGTCTCCGGTTTCACCGACATGCCAGGAGATGTTTTTAGCTCACTAGCCTCCTGACAGAGGAGCGTCTGTCTGAGCTGCTGGGGAGAGCCGTCCCCGCGTTGGTGGTGTGGGGATCTGACCAGCGGCGCCTTCCCCAAGGTGGCACGCCAGTGCTGTGCGGTTCCCCCAGGAGCCGAGGGGTTTGCGGTGGGCACGTGAACCACAGGGGCAGCCACTGGCCATCAGAGATCGGTGAAACCGGCTCCCTCCGCACTGCTGCGTGCAATGCCGTGGGGTGGGCAGGCCTGGGAGTTGGGAGGTGAGCACCCGAAGGACGGGGTCTTTGGCCACCTCCTGCTCATGCTGGGGCAGGGCTCTTCCCTCTGCTGCCACCGGAGCAGCAGAGTTGAATCTCGAGTGGCTTATTTTAAAATGAAGCTAGAGTAGGATGTTAGTGCTGTGTGGTGCGAGGGTAGCAGTGAGGGAGCAGGGGGATGCAGCTGGCACTGATGCCAACACGAGGAGGGGATTTTCAGTCATTTTGGCCTTGTGTGGCTCTTGCAGAGGCTGGAGGGCTACTGTGCAGCGGGGCAGAGCTGGGGTCTCTTAAATACTTGCTCTCAGTCCTATGTCTAGGCCAGGCCCTATCTCTGATCTCTTCACCAGAGAAGCTGGGACAGCTGTTGGCATCTAAAAGAGAGTCAGTCTATACCAACAGCTCTGGTTCCACCAGCGGGGCTCATGGTAATTACCCAAAACTTCTGGGACCCAAAGTGCATCATATAACCAAGTCTGGAAGACCTGCAGCGGTCAAAGTACTGTCATCCCATCGCACGTGCTGTGGTATCACCACGAAGCTCAAAACAGGGACCTACCTGTTGCACTGTAAAACATGGTAAAAAAACTATTGCAGCCTCAGACCTTCTACACAGAGCATAAATCATGCATGCAAAGTGCAAATAATCAGAATATTGCTAAACACTGTAGTTTAGAGGCATGTTTGTGGAACTAAGGCGTAGACTGTGAAGCAGTTAAAAGTGCCAATTCCCAAAAAACATCATTATTCAAGTTGCCTAAATTAAGCCATCACTGTACAGTCAAAGGAAGCTTTTTATAGGGAAATAATTTTACAAAACCCAAGCCATTTCATAGAAAATTGAGCTGGCAAAAAGTGTTGCATAAAATTAAGTAACTTGCACAGAAGTTTCTTGAATGAAAAATAAATGTACACCTGGTCTAATAGTTATTTTCTGTCTCTAGGAAGCATCAGGATTGGACTGTTTAAGCTCTCACAAACACCTCTTATGACAGTGACACGTGCCATACGCTGTGTCCAAGGAGGAGAAAAGGTTAGTTTAAATGCGTAGCAATGACATTTGGGCTTCCACAGAGTACCGTGTGCCTGGTTTATGCTGAGCAGTGAACTCTTCATTGCTGGGGAGCCCACGCGCAGGCTGACAGTGGGCTGTACAACCGAAACCCCTCCAGGAAATACGATCGGTCTAATTTTAACTACGTGGACAGCATTTGATATGGAAGCAGCTGGTGTCATACAAATCTGTGGGCCTGTCAAGCAACCAGAGTGCATCGCTGAAGCAACTATGTTCATTTCCACCCAAAGGCAATCTAGAAAGCCAGGCACGATTTTAGCTTGCACTTAACTCAATGTAAATCAGAGCTGTAGCTTTCTAACCATAGATGTACAGTGCCCAAACTCTTAGATTTTAATGCCATTCCATTACAAAAATGAGGCATGGCATTTATTTTTCTCGCCCCGTGCTGCATTTCATGCTGGTACATACCTGTTTCTGTTTACAACTGGTGGAAAGGTTTTCTGGTCATAGTCTCTCTGTTCCCCTCTTGTGAAAAGGTTTTCTACAGTGAAAAGTTTATCTAATGAAAGCCAGCAGTGGTCTGAGCCTAAGCTACTGGTGGTCTCTTGATCTACTGTATGTCATGCTAATTGCTCAAGAGTATATCTAGGCCGTGATCTCAGTGGGTGCTCGGATTGCCGTCTTTTTGGCAGCTGAGACACAAACTTCATAGGTAGAAAAACCCTAAAAATACAGCAGGGCTTGAATTTTCTGTCTACTAGAGAGTGACAGAGGTGGCATGTCTGCTAAACTCCAGCTCAAGTGTCCCGTAAGCAAGCTATATTGCTTAATTACTGGAAAGTCTCAGGAAAACAAAAACGCCTGACCTAGTGCGTACCCAGCTGCTCTGGAAACACTTCACCCGCCAGCGTTCAGCGCCGAACGCGGCAGTGTCCGGATGGCTGTGACTCCAGCTAGTGCTGCAACCGGAGCCTGCAGCAGCCCTGGCAGTCAGCGAGGGGTTGTCCCCTGACAGCCGTAGCCTTTGGAAATTAGGAAATGATAATATGAAGGCATCTGTGCAGTGCAAGGCACAGGAGAGCCAGGGCTTTGTCTCTGCCGGCCCCCCTTGCCAAAAAAAAGTTTGCTTCTGTTTAGAGAGCTCGTCAGTAAATGCATTTAAAATGTTATAGGATAAATAAGGAACAGAAGTAGAGACAGGTTACAGTTCTTGTTAATAGTGTTTGTGGTAAATGGACAAAGTTCCTCTCTCAGGGAGTGAAGATGCACCGCTGAATTTTCTTGCTACTTTTTGCAACAACAGCGAGGAATTTCTCTAGGAGATAACACGGTGCAATGGACAAAGCTCTTGAATACCCCAGGCTACTAATTAATACAACTGAAAAGCAAAATATGAAAAGGAAGAGTTGATATCCAGGCAACAGAGGGGATAAAGCTCCTTTCAAGGGGCAGGTCCTGCCCTTGGGTTTGCCTCACTCCCCCGTCTGCCAAGGAAAACACTCAGCTGTTTTGTCATTTGGAGCTGGGAGGCCCAAAACTCCCATCCACACCTGGCCCTTGTTTTCACTACACTGGATTAGGCCTACAGATAATGTGCAAGATGTTTATTGTGCCGTAGAGCTCGGGCTGCGGGTCCTGCACTGCTGGGGCAGGAGAAGAGGTTACTGCCCCCGCTCTGCCCATTGCTTGAGGTTACCCTCTGCTGCTGCCCTGTTGCAGGGGGCACAAGCAGGGTGTCCTGCCTCCTTGGCTGCTGCAGAGGAATATCCAGCTAACGTGTTTTTGCGGCACATGGTGGTAGCCTTTGAGTTAGTTTGCTGGAGCGTGAGCTTCTGTGGCTGCAAATGATGTGCTGTTAGAAGATCAGAGCAGTCTGTGCTGCTGAAAGGTGGAGCAGGGTGAAAGACTAAACCCAAATCCCATGCCTGTGGTTCTGGTTACCTCCATTACATACAGTTCCCAGTGCTATGAAAAGACTCTCGCTGAGAAGATGCATTATACTTTCTGGCCACTTTCTTCCCTGTAGCATCTCTATCCCTTCTCTTTTCATCTTAACCTGCCTGTGAGCCATGTTTAGGAGGAGGCTGTGGAGCCCCGCTGATGCTCTGCTGCACAACTGAGCCCGCATCTCATCTGAGTGTCTTGTGGACTGTTTGCCTCTTCCCTCAGCCCAAGAGACTAAACGAAGTATTGGTGGATTGGCTGCTTGCAAGGTACCTCATTAATGAAGTGAGATGTTCAAGGGGGCAGAGCTCGTCATGGCTTCACCTTGTACATGTGCCGCGGAGCCGAGATGCCCTCTGGTTGGCAGTGGAGTCCTCTCTTGCTTTGGAAACCACAGTCTTCCTGGGTTTCCTTGGTGCGAGGGTAAGAGATGCTCATGCACAGGCATGCTGTGGGGTTGGAGCTCCTGGTTTGCCAGGATGCTCAGATGACCACCCTTGATGATCCTACAGGTAAGAGCAGAGCTCAGCGTGCCAGAAAGGGGAACGCTGCTATCTGAAATCGAAAATCATATCCCTGTCTCTCCTCCCCACCCCCTGACAAACCCTCATGTAACCCGAGAACATGATTAGAAGCTAGAAATTAAAATGTTACTCACCTCTCTAAGCCATCAGTTTGGTTTTGGGGCTCTTGCTGCCAGCAGCTTGAGTCAGTGCTGAGTCCTGAAGTGGAAAGTCTCCTCTCCACCAACTCCCCTCCGAGGACTGAAGGCTGTCTGGGGTGGTGGGTTACATTTCTAATGTTCAGATCCCTCCTTGTGAGTGATGGCATGGCGGGAATGTCAGCTGTATGGGAATAAACTGCAGCAATTTATTCTCTCCAGCCTGTTTGAAAGGCAATAGAGCGGCACCATTAGCTGGAACAAAACAGGTCCACTGTTGTGAGATACAACGGTGGCCAGATCCGTAGTTGCTTATAATTTATCATGCTAGTAGTCCTGAGTGCTGGAAAGATGCCAGCTCAGGTCGATTGTGACTCTCCACACTGAAAGAGGGCCAAGAAAGAGAAGTGAGGCAAAACTTCATTAGAAGCAGGACTGTCTTATGCAGATCTGGAATGTAAGGAATTTCCTATTCACTTGGGATATAAAGAAAACCTGAGCTACTCCCCCCTCCCCAAATGCTGAGGAATGCAGGGGGGATAGCTTGGGTCCGGTGGAGCCAGCGTATGTCTTGCTGACTTGAACAGTTTCACATTAGCATCCTCCAGACTTGGTAGAAGAGCTGTGTAAAACTCGTGGGAGCTGAAGTAATATCCTGATGATGGCAGAAGCACAGTGCCATGATGCGCTTAAATTTCAAGCAAGGTGCATTATTCAGTGAGGTACCACGTAGGGGAGGAGCTGGAGCAAGGGCATTTCTGAAGTGCAGGGTTGTGTCTGTGCCCAGTGTTAGTGCAGCAAGTTTACATGGAAGTTCCTGTGCCCCAAAATACCACTTAACAGCTCGTTTGGGGGAATTGCTTTGTGTAGATGCATGAAGGGAAGGATGAGACACCCCCAAGCAAAGCTGCCCATCACTCTGAAAGCGTCTGTAAACAAATTGGATCTTCTCTTCTACCACAGCAGTGCGCTTCCACAGCTGAAGGCCGAAGGGGTGTTAGACCGTTCAGTCTTGGCATTGTCAGCCTTCATCAGTTTTGTGACCATGAAAATAACCCAGCTGCTTTGTGAAGCCCTGCTCAGCAGTCTAAGGTATGCTGAATTAGTTACCTTTTGTGGGCTCCTGGAGGTCTTCCCCAGATTCCCAGTTCGAAAATATGACTCGCAGTTGGGTTTTCTGCAAGCACAAGCTCCTAAATTTTTCCACTTACCTGCCTGCTTCATTCATGCTGAGTCCCAGATGCTGTGTGAAAAGGTATAAATTACTTTTGGCTAAAGCATCTCTCCTGGCACTGTTATTAATGGCTGTATCATTTTTTTGTGTCGCTGCAAATCGTATCAAGGCCATCTGGGCCCAAGGACGGGTGAATCCTGCCCTCCAGCACAGACTGTGGTGTAGGGATGCTCTGGGAGCTGCACCTCCTTGCACCTGCTTCCTTTGGCTGTCTTTTGCCTCTCCGGTTCTCAACTGTGCTTGAAGACCTCTGAGGAAGGGGTCCTGAACTCCAGGAGCGCTGCTCTCCCCCTCCTGTGGACAAGCAACTCTGCCGCAAGTCAATGGGATTTACTTGGATCCTCTAGCTGGACAATCTAGCCCAAGGAATTTAAACTATTATTCACCTCTTGATGGCGTAATTATCAGATGAACTTTTGACGCTGGCTTGAATGCAGGGGTGGTGGGAAGAGACTGGCTATTCCAGCCATCTTAAACCCTTCCCAAAATGGAAAAGCAGCTGGCGCAAAGGCCACAAATGCTGGGGACTTTCTTCCTGAAGCGCTTTGTCAGGGGCTTCTGAAATGACATTTCAATTTATATTGAATGAATATATCAATGTGTCAAACTCTGAGACAGATGAGTAGTGATTTTCTTTTTAGTTTTTATTTTTCCAAAAGGGATTTCTGAATGGAGGAATGTGGGTAACAAATGGTCTTGGTGTGAAAATGAATGGACCTGCCCTGTGGAGAAACCAGGTATCTTCACTGGCAAGTTGGTGTCTAGGGTAGTTTTGACAGTAAGAATTGAATTAATTCTTATGGTTGGATTCAGAGTTCAGGCAGAAACTTCTCACTTCTGCGAGGAAATCCAGCACATCTTCCCACTCTTGCATGAAGAAGCTGAGCATGGGCTGGTGTTCATGTCACGAGGGAGCTTGGGATAGGGAGGGAACTTGGCAGTGCTGTGAATTTTGGGAGAGAGAGGAGCTCCGGGTAGCCTGGCAGGCCCCAACTGGTCTTTCCCAAAGAGTGATTTACCTCTGGTAGTCAGAAGCTAGTTGAGGCTAGCTGTTGGAAGAGAGGACGCTGAGCAGACAGGTGTGCAAGGACAGTCTTCTGCATCTGCCTGCGGTACATGTTCGAAGGTGGCGGTGCCCATTGCTGGTAATAGGACTCTTCCTCTAAGAGATCCTCAGCAAAGTGCAACGAACACGATTGCAAGTTAAAAGTAATCGTCTGCGAGCAGAAGAGAAGAGACTTGGGGAGGTTGAAGTCACATAGAGGTGTCATTGCCAGAAGGTGTCACAGCCTGCCTGTGGTCCAAACGCAGTGGAGGGGCTGCGAGTGTGTGTGCTGGGAGGCTCCCCAAGCCCTCCCACCTATCTTCTCACCACCGAGGTCTCCAAGTGGGTGGTAAACACTGATAGACTCAGCCAAGTTTGTCTGATTACACTTAGTCAAACCTGTCTGAAACTGGACTCACCAGTAGACTCAGCCAAGTCTGACTGATTAAACTTAACCAAGCCTGTCTGAGACCAGCAATTATTGGGCTGCCTCCATCTTTGATAGTACACTGCTCCAAACCCAAATTTGGATTGGTGCGGTTCCTCTGGCTTCAGAGGAGCCATGCAGGTTTATGTGAGGGCCGTGTTTGGACAACAGGACACATTTGACCTTTCTTCTGCCGTTACTACTTGTTCCGCTGAAGATCTGATGTTCTCACTGGGCCAGACAGATCAGTAGTTTTAGCCTAGATGCTTATCATGGATATCTTGGTGTAAAATCAGATTA